CTCTCTCTCTCTGTTCCCTCCCCCCTTAGAGCTATATACCGCGGCGGTGTCAGTTCGAAAGTGCGAGCAGGCATCGGCCCGCGGCGCGACGCATCGATCCCGCTTTCCCTCTCTCACCCTCCGTCCCCTCTCAACGTCATATCCTCTCTCGGCTGCGCCCTCACATCCCCCGCGCGCCCTTCCTCACTATCGCCGCCGCCGCCGCCGCTGCCGCCGCCGCCACCATCGCCGCCGCCATCGCCTCCCAGGGGTTGCCCCTCCCAGCCCTTCCCTGCCCCCTATCCCTGCGGCACGCTCACACCGACCATTTATGCCACCCCATCCCTCCGACGTAACGTACGACGGCTAACCATGATACAGATACCAGAAATCCACCCACATCGGTGCGCGTTATGTGGGTAGACGAGCGTGTGCGTACGTGCGTGCACACGCGTGTGAACGCGTGCGCGCGCACATGTGTGCTCTCTCGCGAGAAGCGCACGTATATACCTGGTCCGGCCCCGTGCAACACGGCCCGCCATCATTTTAATGAAGATGTAATTACGGACGTTTCGGCACTGGAATCAGCAATGCGCCCGTGGCGCGACACGCCGAGTCGCATTATTGGCTGCCTTATTAACCACTGCGCGATGCACGAGTTTCTACTATCTCTCTCTCTCGCTTCTGCGCTCCCTTTCTCCCTCTCTCGCTCTTTCTGTCTTTCTCTCTTTGTTCTTCCTGAAGCCCGTTGTGTTCCGGCCGCGTATTGCGCGCGTATTTCCGCTTCCATCCGGCCGGCTAAATCTGCGCGAGTAACGCAACGATGTCTCTCCGCGAACGCTTTCGCGAGCGCAGAAAAAGAGAATGTGTCCTCGTCATGACAAGCACACGTCAACGTCCGTAGATTTACATTCGCAGATTGCGGAGAAAGAAGGCCGCCGAGAAAGAGAGATTGCGCTAAACGTTAAACCCATCCTGCGAGTGTTCCCCATTCGAGAATTCGAATCTCCCGAATGCTAAGCGCGCGGAGCGTTAGCTACTGAAGTGCCCTTCTCCTCCCCTCCGCCCCCTCCCTTTCTCTATCCCCCGCGCGAAACTTCATTAAATCCGCGAGCGTCGGGGCCGCCAATTAGTATAATGATGAGCTACGCGGTGCAAAAAGTTGCGCACGACATGTCGTTAATTTTAACGACGCGTTGTATCATTGGTATGGAGCGAAATATATATGTTGAAACGTCGCGTCTCTATCAAGACAACGCGCGATATGTTAATCTCGGGGTTTCGCGCTATAGTGTGTGTGTGTGTGTGTGTGTGTGTGTGTGTGTGTGTGTGTGTGTGTGTGTGTGTGTGTGTGTGTGTGTGTGTGTGTGTGTGTGTGTATATGCGTGTACTATTTCGCGGTCGAGCGGAGAAACCGGCTGGAGAACGTTAACGATCTTTGCAATAACGCGCGCCGCACACCTTTATCGCTGGTCGGGCGCGGCGACGTTGCGCTCTCTCTCCTCGATGTCCGCCTGATCGGAAGGAAACCCTTATATCAATTAGAGCAGTTAAGGGTAACTATCCCCTCACGATATGTAATGTGCTTTGGCTGATTTGATCCCCTAACGGGATTACGCGCCCGGGTTTTGGCGCGCACACCCTGCGCTGCCCATGCAATCCCGTGTTCGTCCCGTGTGTTTTACGCGCGCATGTATGGCGCGTGTATGTCTGTACGTGTGCGTATGCGTGTTTGCGTGTATGTGTGCTCATGTTTGTATGTTGGTCAAACGTGCACCGTGCACACCGCCATTGGCTTTCGGCTCCTACTGTTTGGTATGGGATTCGCGACGTACATTGCTTCGAGAATTCGAAATTATTCCTCTAAACTAGAACTGATGGCTCCCGATTTCGAAATCGGCACGTTTGCGCCGACTCCGTAAAACAGATTATAGATATATTATGTATAGATAGACGTATAAATTATGTGCTCCCGGGAAGCCTTTCTGCACAGGCTACGGGATCAGGCTCGAGAAGAGCATTCTAAGTACATCGTAAAGACTTAAAAGTAATAAATTTAATAAAAATGTATGTGTTACGACTGCGAATTATTCGCTTTATTCTCACCGATACAGTATATAAAAATGAATCTGTTTTACATGTAAAAGAAGCAATGATGTATAATTTTAATCGAAATAATTGTAGTTTAATTCGCTGATAATCTGTTTGTAAGAAATTTGAAAGAAATTTTGATTGTTATATTAGTAATTATATTACTATATAATTTTTTTGTTTAAATATTATTTTCTATTACTTTTTCTGTAATAATAATATAAATAACATCGAAAAATTATCGATTAAAATTTGATAAAACAAATGTTTAAAAAAAAGAACGTAATTCGTCAGTTCCTTGGTGACGTTTCGATAGAACTTTTAATAGAAAACAACCTTCCCCCATTATTCTCCAGAGAATTTTATCCCTTATACCCCGATCCAAGGGGTGTGGTGCGCCGCATCGAGGAGAGAGTGACCCCTGTGATGGAAACTACCCCATCCAGTTCAGGGATGCTGGATGGTCCAGCATAAGCTCCGCAACTGAATCTTGATCTCTAGACGAAGGTCAGAAGGTCGTCAACGGTTTCTTGACCAACGGTTGCACAGTTTTTTTCATTATTATATGCGCGAGACTAGACGCAATTCAATGAAAAAATAACAATCACTATTTTAAAAGCGAATATAATGATGATTAGATGAACAAATCTTCTCGAGAGATATATCTGATTTAGTTTTATTTTATTTTTACTCGATATAGTTTAAATAATTTTCAATGATTTTTACATTGTAATATAAATTCAAACAAAGTCCTGACATATATGAACACTCCATATTTAAAGTATTTCGCATTTTCCACAGCTAAAAATATAGTATTATTTTCGATATCAAGAAACCGATTATTTTTTAAAAGTGATTTAGCATCGAAAGAAATTATCGATTATCTTCGTTTTACGATATCGCATGCAAATCTATATTATATATAGATTATCACATTCTTAAGCGAAAAATCTGAAATGTGAATATTACTCTTTAAAGAAATACGAGCGTTATCTCAATCCGTCGCGAGATGGAGGAAAGCTTTTGAATTTTGAACACTTCTCCGAGCCCCAGAGGCAACAGGCATGATTGGTATCGACACTGCTCGCTTTTTCCTCCTTCTTCGCTTGGTCTTTGCCCCGGAGTGGCGAGTGCATTGGAACACAATGCACTCGCCTCATCGACTATCTGTCCCATTCTGCCTCCATCCTCTCTCACTTTCCTCAAAGTAATACAAGAATTCCCGAGAGTTTTATGTCTGTTCGAGATAAGTATCGTTTATTCTAATTAAGCCGACATATCGACGAAAACACTCGAAAATGTGACTATGTTCTCGACGTCTATTGCTGGCAAGCTCAATTTTTAAAGACAAAGAGAAAATGTATCTTGACTCTGCGTGTGATAGAAAATGATATTGCGATGCGCTCAAAGTTCTTCCAAATGCATTCCTTTATTCGCGAAGATCAGTAAAGGCTTTTCAATAATCCTTTAAGATGCAAATCATAGGATATATATATATATATATATATATATATATATAATTATTA